AAAACACAAACGCGGAAAATTGCCCCAAACGCGGTTAAACACTAATACAAAAATGCTAAAAAACACTGAAAGACTTGAATTTTTAACGTGACTTTACACAGCTAACACTGCCAGCGTTATCAACCACTTCCCGCCCAGCCTATAGTAAAATGACAGCCGGGTGAGTCTCTCGTTGATCCGGGAGGGTGTCATATGACGTCCTTCCCAGATCACGCATTGCCCGTGCCCACAGGGCCGCACTGTGGCGGGATCTGTCACCGGCTGTGTACTTCGGACACGGCCGATGACAGATCTGAGTACCGGCCCCCGTTGCCAGTACCATGTGACCTGCTGTGACCAATCATCGCAGGTCACATGACAGTTGTATACAATGGATGGCTTCCTTTCATGCCATCCATTGTATACAAGTATGTCTAGCTGTGAATGGTTACAGCGATCACATGCACAAGCTGGGCCAATCACAGCCCATCTGTGTCACGTGATTAACTGTGGCCAAATCACAGCTAAGCAGAACAAAAAAACCCGAGTGAATTGATTTCATTCAGTTTAATGCTTACTTACAGCAATCAAATTGTGTAAAAAAATAAAAAATACTGATCACTTCCCCAAAGTAGTACAGTGTTACTATGGTAACATTATACTACTTTGATCATATGAAAAAAAAAATCTTTACAAAAGAGAAAAAAATTTAATAAAAAATAAAAAAATAAAAAAAAAAACAAATTGAAAAAAAATTATCATTTTTTTTTTCGTACTGTCACCAGTCAGTGTTCCTAATCACCACCACACCAGTTATATGATGATGCTGTACTGCACTGGTGACAGTTCCAAAAAATTATGACAAAAAAATTACAACTTCAAAAAACTTGCCATGTCTCTTATGAAATACGTTGGACTGTCTACTTTGCAAAAAGGGGTCCTTTGTGGGATATCTGTACTGTTCTGACATTTGGGGGGATATCTGTACTGTCCTGACATTTGGGGGATATCTGTACTGTTCTGACATTTGGGGGATATCTGTACTGTCCTGACATTTGGGGGATATCTGCACTGTCCTGACATTTGGGGGATATCTGTACTGTCCTGACATTTGGGGGATATCTGTACCGTCCTGACATTTGGGGGGGTACCGTCCTGATATCTGTACCGTCCTGACATTTGGGGGGATATCTGTACCGTCCTGACATTTGGGGGATATCTGTACTGTTCTGACATTTGGGGGGATATCTGTACTGTCTTGACATTTGGGGAATATCTTTACTGTCCTGACATTTGGGGGATATCTGTACTGTTCTGATATTTGGGGGATATCTGTACTGTTCTGACATTTGGGGGATATCTGTCTTGACATTGCCCTGACATTTGGGGGGATATCTGTACCGTTCTGACACATTTGGGGGATATCTGTACCGTTCTGACATTTGGGGGATATCTGTACCGTCCTGACATTTGGGCGATATCTGTACTGTCCTGACATTTGGGGGATATCTGTACTGTCCTGACATTTGGGGATATCGGTACTGTCCTGACATTTGGGGGATATCGGTACTGTTCTGACATTTGGGGGATATCTGTACTGTCCTGACATTTGGGGGATATCTGTACTGTTCTGACATTTGGGGGATATCTGTCCTGTCCTGACATTTGGGGGATATCTGTACTGTCCTGACATTTGGGCAATATCTGTCCTGTTCTGACATTTGGGGGATATCTGTCCTGTCCTGACATTTGGGGGATATCTGTACTGTTCTGACATTTGGGGGATATCTGTCCTGTCCTGACATTTGGGGGATATCTGTCCTGTCCTGACATTTGGGGGATATATGTACTGTCCTGACATTTGGGGATATCTGTACTGTCCTGACATTTGGGGGATATCTGTACTGTTCTGACATTTGGGGGATATCTGTACTGTTCTGACATTTGGGGGATATCTGTACTGTCTTGACATTTGGGGAGATATCTGTACTGTTCTGATATTTGGGGGATATCTGTACTATTCTGACATTTGGGGGATATCTGTACTGTTCTGACATTCTTGGACCTCAAGAAATTAGATTGGCTGTCAGTACTTCAGGATTGATCAATTTCCAGATATATCTCATAGTTTGTAAACTCTAACTTTCCTACAGACTAAATAATAAATACTGATTTGGGTTATTTTCACCAAAGAAATGTAGCAGAATACATCTTGGAATAAAATGTATGAAGAACAATTATTTATTTGCAAACTTTTATAACAGAAACAAAGAAAAACGTGGGTTTTTTCTTCAAATTTTTTTTGTTAATTTAGCAAAAAATAAAAACCCCAGTGGTGATTAAATATCACCAGAAGAAAGCTCTAGTTGTGTGAACAAAATGATAAAAATTTAGTTTGGGTACAATTGTCATTCAACATGTGAGAGCGCAGAAACCTGAGAATTGGCCTGGGCAGGAAGGGGGTAACAGTGCCCGGTACTGAAATGGTTAAAACACCGCGTTTGCATGGAGCCTAAGAAGCAAAGTCTGCTCACTCAGGGTGGCCACCTCCCCCTTCCTAAAATGCTACATGGAAGTGGAAAAGAAACCTGTTGGAAGAAAAGTTGGATATTATACATACCTTATCCCCAGCTTCCACCTGTGGCCCCTAAGTGACAGTGACATCATCCTCCTTCCAATAAGTTTTCAGGGAATATTGAGTATTCCAGATCTCACTGAGAGAAGTCAATTCTTTACTGTTCCACAGCATCTTCTCATTTGCAGTAAGGGTATTCCATGGGATAGCACTTCCTGCACTATGGAAGTCAAAAGAAAGGGAGGCCCGGGGTAAAAGGACAGGAAAAAACATGAACAGAGAGCCGTCATGACAGGGGTGGGGAGATAAGAGTCATATTAGTTGGCAGGAAATATGATGGGGAGTTCTAAGCGGTGTTAAGATAGGAGCGGGTGGAGCCACAGGGGATGGTTTAGATGGGGTGTGGGGGAGGGGGTCTTCAGTCGGAAGGAAGATTAGCAAAGGAAAACTTCCCTCCCTCCCACCTGTTCTTTTTTTTTTTTTTTTTTTTGTGGTTGTAATGGTTGGAGCTGACGGGCAGTCTGAAGTTCGGCTCCCAGTTGTTCTGATGGTGGTATCTGTGGTGGTTGTCTCCAAGTCGGTGGTGTTTTTGTGGCTGGATGCCTAAAGTAGGACACAGGTAGTTTTTTTTATTGATGCCTACTGGGACCTTAAAGCTCCAGTTATACTGTGTTTACATTATTTCCAAATGTTATTTATTGATTGTTGTAATAAAAAGGCTGTTTTAGCCATTACCTCCAGCTTTTTGTCCAAGTGGTTACTTCATGTGAAAGGGGAGGAGGTAATGGTCAAAAGGGAATGGGGACAAGCCATCTTTAGTCCCCTGGTCAAGGTAAGTTTATTATTTATTGTTCCTGCTACAGGTACTTTTTTGCAGTTTTTTTTAGGAATAGATAAGCAGTTCTTTTCTGGAGTGCAAGGTCTGCTTTAAGTTAGAAAAATCCACATCCTTACCATGGAGATAGCATATTGTGGAAAAAACAGATATTGACAGCTTCATGAGTTTAAGATAACTATTTTATTGATATATAAAAAACAGGAAGCAAGAACATTTCAGATATTAATTTTTTCAAAGATAATAAAACACACTAGCACAGTGCAATTTTAAAGAAATAAACACAATGTTATCTCTTATATATTCTATATGTCAGCGAATAATATTTTTTTATTAATTCTACTTCTTGTAGAAGGAATACACCGCCCTTACCACGCTTGAAACAAGGAACCCCTTCCATGTAAAAAATTGTGCAACATTGCAGAACATATCAACTGCAGAATCCACCCATGAAGTTTTTTTCAGGTCTTCCATCTCTCCTTTTAAGCCTTTAACCTGTCGGTGGTACATGTCAGCTTCTTCACGAAACCCCTGCCTGGTGTACAAGTCCTGTTCCTGCGTAAACACGAATGACAGAACTGATTAATAGGAAAGGTGTCATAAGAGGGGTTTTTTCACACAGCTCCAATTCTATAGAATTATCTTTGTATTTGGTTACACTTGTCTCTATCTAAAACTTCTATTACCTCCTCACTGGCCTGCCTCGCCGCTGGCTATCCCCGCTTCAGTCCATCCTGAATACGGCTGCCAGACTCATTCACCTTTCCAACCGCTCCGTTTCCGCCACCCCCCTCTGCCAATCCCTCCACTGGCTTCCGATTGCGCAATGGATCAAATTCAAAATCCTAACACTGACGTACAAAGCTGTCCACCATACTGCCCCGTACTACATCACTGACCTAATATCCAAGTACCACCCAACATGCACACTCCGCTCCTCACAAGACCTCCTTCTCTCTAGTTCCCTGGTCTCCTCCTCCCATGCCCGCCCCCAGGACTTCTCCAGGGTGTCACCCATCCTCTGGAACTCCCTGCCCCAACCCATCAGATTATCACCTACACTCCTCTCCTTTAGGCACACCCCGAAAACCCACCTCTTCAGGGAAGCCTACCCCACCCCCTGCTAACTTGCTGACCTCCTCCACTCTTCCTACCACTCCATCCCCCACAGCTATCTCCTCCTGTGCCACCATCCCCTCCCTCCTAGATTGTAAGCTCGAAAGAGCAGGGCCCTCGATCCCCTCATGTTTGGCATTGTATTGTTATTGTTCTGTCACATGTTCTGTCCCCCTTTGTAATGTACAGCGCTGAGCGAACTATTGGCGCTTATTATAATAATTAATTATTAGTATAATAATAATAATATTACCTTAATCTCTACCATATCCCTTCCTTACTGCATCTAGTGTTGCCGACTGCCACCATGTCCAGCCATTGACACATCACTTTCTTTTTGAACTCAGCTTACCCAGTCTTTTACATCCTCGCCAATAACAGCTGTTGGAGACTTCTCCTTGTAGTGCATGGAGGGTTGTTCACCTACCACACACCCCTTGATTTACATAGAGCTCCCACAGCACTCACTTTTTCCTTTGCTTGTATTACTAGGCTCAGTTTTTCTTGGAGCATTCGGTTTTCACTGAACTGCTTCTCCATCAATGCTATATAGTTCATCTCAGCAGTTCGCTGTTTATCTTCAGCTATTTTAGACTCTTGTGACAACTTTAATTCCTTTATTTTATTTTCCAGATCCTCCATGTTTCTGCATGACTTGTTTTCTGTTAAATAAGAAGATCCATTTTTTATTTGGTTGTGATATATCATTATGAAATACCTATACAGCCAAGGCTGAAGAAGAGATGTTTTAAATTTTCCCTTTTAGCTCTAAAATTCGATTGGCTCGCATGCCCATGTATGTGAGCCAGTTTTCTCAATCACAATTCCTTCATCTACTTATCCCTTGGTTCCCAGCCTCTGGCCCTTTTGCTCTAACTGTGTGGCCCTCAGGGACACTGCAGACAGTAGTCTGTGCGGTCCGACATTCTGCACTAATGTCAATTCAGCGTTATGGCTTTGGGCTTTCCCTCTCCCCAGCCTAGATTTGTGGCTGGGTCAGGGGAGAGAAAAACAGTGACTCTGCTATGGCTGCAACCATGGTTTAAGCTCCACTTACCACACAGCAGGAGATGAGGACAATGTCTTTGGCTGAAGTTGCAGCATGGGGAGGCTTGCCCATTAATGCTGGGAGTTGCAAGAACTGATGGGGAATGTAGTCCCCAGGCAGGCATCAAGGGGAAGACTGAGTGGGACTACAAGTCCCAGAAGGACTCACCCTGGAGGGTGAGAACAGGGCTGGGAAATCATTCATAGGACAGTCTTTGACATGGGGAGAGAGAGAAGAGAGCGCTACCTGAAGTTCCTGGTGCCATAATGAGTTGTAGAGTGTCACATAGAACCTGGAGAAGGACAGGTGCTTGGTTTATGTGCTGTGTTACTGCATAGGGACTAAATTGCTGCACCTGTCTAGAGAGTTCTGTGTGTATACAGAGGACCCTGCCCTGGAGCAGAGGCTCCTGGCGTAGGACTGTATACTGCAGGGGCGGACTGACCATTTGGAAACTCGGCCACTGCCCGAGCTTCCGGGGTCAGTAGGGGGCCCCATGAGATGCCCCTGGTACCTTTTTCATAGGCTTTTTTGAGTTTGGGCAAGGACACCGGGGGCCCCATGAGTTGTCAGTCCGCCCCTGGTATACTGTGGTTTGTTAGAGACTGTTTCTCTGCCTGTGTGGGACTCTGATGAAATTGTGGTGTCCACATCTGTGTTGATGTGGGCCTGCAGGGCCCAGCATGCTGTGAAAGAGCATCCAAAACTTCATGAAGAATGAGAACTCTCACCTCCAGGACATATGTTGCTGTATCCAGGATGACTGAATGCTGTTCCCAAACCCTGGGACTCCCAAATGTGCCATCCCAGGTGATTTTGGACCTGTTGGCCATCATAACTGGCTCAAGATGTGGGCCCACTGACCTCTTGCTGCGCTATGGTGGGCCTTTGCTTTGACCACCTTTGCTACCTTCCTGCTTATAGGGACAGTACCATCAATATTTTCTGTGAACCTTAGGATTTGTTCCCTGAAAAGCTCCCTCCCTTGTTTGGAATTGCAACTCAAAATATGAGCGCTCCATCATAGATGTGGGGCCCCAACAATAGCAATCAACAGCTTTTTTCTACTGGCCAGTGGAAGGGGGATAAGTAGGGATTGTGCCTTAATAGCCCCTGTGTGTGTTCCCTGTTGTTCAGTGCAGTGCATTGACTAAGGTCAGAATCTAGGAGGTCTAATCTCTGTCCCTGAACCAGGTTGTTGGGTGCCCATTTATTTCATATAGATAACTCCAAAAATAATTATTTGAAAAGATAAAAAAGTAAAATAGAAAAAACTCAATCCAATAATTACAGTAATAATAACAACTGTGTTATTAATAATTTGATACCTTCATCCTTCTTCTGCTGCTCAGTCAAAGTATCATCAGCATTCATAATGGAGATTTTAAGAGATTCTTTTGTCATAATAAAGTCCTGAAGAGCAGACTCTGCCTGCAATAGGAATTCTGATCTAATTATTTTGAAAAACATGTAGAACATTGTAAAAATGTTAAATAGGTTAATAATTATATATTTATTAAAATTGATCACCAATTTGATCCAGAAACAGTGAGCACAGTATATATATTTAAATCTTCTGGACCAAATTTTTGGAACACTTTAATTGTGAAAACGTTTTCAGATGCAGAATTATTGAGGGTTTTTTTTTAAATGATAAAATAGCTCTATGTTAATGTAAAAATAAAATCTTGTTATGTCACATAAACAGAACACTGACCTGTAGACCTTTCCCTGGTTCCTTGTTGTATTTCTCCACTATCTGCCCCATATCTTCCTGAAACTTCTTGTACCCGCCTGGAGTGCAGTACAGACCTTTCCTCAGGGTTTCATCAAGGTCTTTGCTATGTTTTCTTATTAGCTCCTCACAGTATTTGAGGGACTTCATCTTATTCATCTCTGAAAATTCACGTTTTTTCTTCTCCATGTTCTCCTGTTGGGAAGTTAAAAAGATTGAGGACATGCAGGTGCATCCATTGATTTAACATGAAACTATAAATTAGGGAGATTTAGGGCTGTTTACAATGTACTTCAATGACTAAAGTGACCCAATACAAAGATGCATTCATGGAATATGCTAAGCTATTTACAATCTGTCAAGAGCACTAGGCAGGTGTCAAAAACACTTGCTAAATGCTCCCCTTTCATGTTTGACTTCATGCTAGAAGATGCTGTCTGTTGCAAATAAAAGAGCTTGTAGATAAGAATAATTATGGAGAGCCATTGTTTAGTATGGTTATCCACCTTCAGGAGTTCTGAGACACTGGGGACAATTCATTAAGCATTTGCAACATTTTTCTGCAGGTACGGTCCTTTTAAAAAGCTCTGCACCTAATTCATGAAAAACCTGTGACAGTTTTGTTAGGAGTTCTGACAGGTGTAGGTAGTTCTTATATGCACCATTATTAAAGCACTGTCCCGAAGGACACACAGACCCTGCACTATATCCCAGTCTGGTCACAAAAAACAACAGCAGAGAAAAGCCACCAATAATAACACAAATACTTGTGTCATAATACTATCTCCGTCTCACTTATTATAGAAGTGTGGATTAATAAACCGAGTATTGCGTAATAAAAAATATGGTAGTGTGACAAGAGCAACACCACCCAGAAAGGAAAGTGGTTACTTAAACATCCACGCAGAGTAATGTAAGCTAAGTTATTACAGAAAATACTTTATTTTGATCACATAGATCATAGGGAGGTTGAACACAGGCACAGTGAACATATCAAACAAAATAAAATCATTTAAAAGCACTAAGCGTCTTCATTTCTGGGTAATTAGGGCACATAGGGAACCATATAAGGCAATAGAATTATCTTGCATAGTTCTCTTAAGTTTACATATAGTCCAGTCTTGTATTTGATTTAGCCATGTAGTCTTCAGACACATTCTTGGTATAGGCCAGGATATGTAGAGTAGCTTCCTGGTGAGTGGAGACTATAACACAAAAAGATGGCAGTCAAAAACTATAAATAACGTATATATCACACCAAACTCTCCCCCATAGACATGAACTGTTGCTCCAATTACCTTCTCAGTAATTTCGCTGTCATACCAGCATGATGAGTGTGGAGACTTCCTGGGTAACCACCCCAAGTGAAAAAAGATCCACAATAACAAGTGATTCTAAGGATATATATAAAATATATAGATCATAAATAACAGGCAGGGTCCCTGAATAAACACAAAAAAAATATGTGTATGAGGTATATATTACCATCAATGATGATCAAGAAGACTTCACGTCGACTTGAAATAAGATCAGGTCCTTTCTGCTTGTTTAGTTGTATATATATGGATGGGAGGCCAGGTAGTCTCAGAGCAACAATTTATGATCAATTATTTATGATCTATATATTTTATATATATCATTAGAATCACTTGTTATTGTGGATCTTTTTTCACTTGGGGTGGTTACCCAGGAAGTCTCCACACTCATCATGCTGGTATGACAGCGAAATTACTGAGAAGGTAATTGGAGCAACAGTTCATGTCTATGGGGGAGAGTTGGTGTGATATATACGTTATTTATAGTTTTTGACTGCCATCTTTTTGTGTTATAGTCTCCACTCACCAGGAAGCTACTCTACATATCCTGGCCTATACCAAGAATGTGTCTGAAGACTACATGGCTAAATCAAATACAAGACTGGACTATATATGTAAACTTAAGAGAACTATGCAAGATAATTCTATTGCCTTATATGGTTCCCTATGTGCCCTAATTACCCAGAAATGAAGACGCTTAGTGCTTTTAAGTGATTTTATTTCGTTTGATATGTTCACTGTGCCTGTGTTCAACCTCCCTATGATCTATGTGATCAAAATAAAGTATTTTCTGTAATTACTTAGCTTACATTACTCCGCGTGGATGTTTAAGTAACCACTTTCCTTTCTGGGTGGTGTTGCTCTTGTCACACTACCATATTTTTTATTATCCCAGTCTGGTGACTGTCCTTTTGAGCGTTGGAGAAATTGCTTGTGAATTTGTTGGTGTACAGAGACAGATTAAAGTGCTCTGAACATGGCTACAGTGTGTATACATCGTTGAATGTGCCACCCCTCCACCTGTCACCAGTTTCTAGGACATTATTGAGTATACATGAACACTGGTTGCTAGGATTCTGGATAGCTGACAGCATCCTGGAAACCAGTGTGGTCCAGAGGATAAACATGTACTGAAGATGTAGTGTCTGTGATATGTAGTACCCAGCCTCTGTATCCCCTCCACCGTGCCTTCATGCCATAAATTCATGTGCCTGTTTTATCACAGGTACCTGATTTTTCCACAAACACCGAAATCCATTGGGTGGAGGTATAAAACCTTAACAATTTCAGGAACTGAGTATCATATTATTGTCGGGCATTTATTAGGGCCACAACTATCACACTTTAGGGACCTCTGAGCTTTAGAGCTGTCCTCAGAAAGTAAAACCTGATTAAGGGCATTTATACGACTTTCACAGGTGAGCCCAAATCATTTCAACAATTAAATAGTTAGGCGCAAGCCTAATCTGTTCTCTTTTGACCTTCCGATATACAATGAGATATATATATATATATATATACAGTCAGGTCCATAAATATTGGGACATCGACACAATTCTAACATTTTTGGCTCTATACACCACCACAATGGATTTGAAATGAAACGAACAAGATGTGCTTTAACTGCAGACTGTCAGCTTTAATTTGAGGGTATTTACATCCAAATCAGGTGAACAGTGTAGGAATTACAACAGTTTGCATATGTGCCACCCACTTGGTAAGGGACCAAAAGTAATGGGACAGAATAATAATCATAAATCAAACTTTCACTTTTTAATACTCGGTTGCAAATCCTTTGCAGTCAATTACAGCCTGAAGTCTGGAACGCATAGACATCACCAGACGCTGGGTTTCATCTCTGGTGATGCTCTGCCAGGCCTCTAATGCAACTGTCTTCAGTTCCTGCTTGTTCTTGGGGCATTTTCCCTTCAGTTTTGTCTTCAGCAAGTGAAATGCTCAATCGGATTCAGGTCAGGTGATTGACTTGGCCATTGCATAACATTCCACTTCTTTCCCTTAAAAAACTCTTTGGTTGCTTTTGCAGTCTGCTTTGGGTCATTGTCCATCTGCACTGTGAAGCGGCATCCAATGAGTTCTGAAGCATTTGGCTGATGATATGAGCAGATAATATTGTCCGAAACACTTCAGAATTCATCCTGCTGCTTTTGTCAGCAGTCACATCATCAATAAATACAAGAGAACCAGTTCCATTGGCAGCCATACATGCCCACGCCATGACACTACCACCACCATGCTTCACTGATGAGGTGGTATGCTTAGGATCATGAGCAGTTCCTTTCCTTCTCCATACTCTTCTCTTCCCATCACTCTGGTACAAGTTGATCTTGGTCTCATCTGTCCATAGGATGTTGTTCCAGAACTGTGAAGGCTTTTTTAGATGTCGTTTGGCAAACTCTAATCTGGCCTTCCTCTTTTTGAGGCTCACCAATGGTTTACATCTTGTGGTGAACCCTCTGTATTCACTCTGGTGAAGTCTTCTCTTGATTGTTGAGTTTGACACACATACACCTACCTCCTGGAGAGTGTTCTTGATCTGGCCAACTGTTGTGAAGGGTGTTTTCTTCACCAGGGAAAGAATTCTTCGGTCATCCACCACAGTTGTTTTCTGTGGTCTTCCGGGTCTTTTGGTGTTGCTGAGCTCACCGGTGCGTTCCTTCTTTTTAAGAATGTTCCAAACAGTTGTTTTGGCCACACCTAATGTTTTTGCTATCTCTCTGATGGGTTTGTTTTGTTTTTTCAGCCTAATGATGGCTTGCTTCACTGATAGTGAGAGCTCTTTGGATCTCATCTTGAGAGTTGACAGCAACAGATTCCAAATGCAAATAGCACACTTGAAATGAACTCTGGACCTTTTATCTGCTCATTGTAATTGGGATAATGAGGGAATAACACACACCTGACCATAGAACAGCTGAGAAGCCAATTGTCCCATTACTTTTGGTCCCTTACCAAGTGGGAGGCACATATGGAAACTGTTGTAATTCCTACACCGTTCACCTGATTTGGATGTAAATACCCTCAAATGAAAGCTGACAGTCTGCAGTTAAAGCACATCTTGTTTGTTTCATTTCAAATCCATTGTGGTGGTGTATAGAGCCAAAAATGTTAGAATTGTGTCGATGTCCCAATATTTATGGACCTGACTGTATATATATACTGTATATACCTGCGTGCGCAGCCCGCACCTTTCGGAAGTTATTAGTGTACATAGTTACATAATTTCCAGTAGCCGCAATTGCGTCACTTCCGGTTTTGTAACCGCCGTTGTCTAGGAGGTGGATTGAGGGTCTCTATACATAGCAGTGTGGCAGCCTGGCCCCACACCTACTGAAGAAGCCCAGAGGGCATACAACTTATAGGGAAGGAGCCACACTGTGATTTGTAAGCATGTCTGTGATCCTGGCTTTTTGCGATTTATTTCAGGTACTTATATAGCGCCATCAATGTACGCAGCACTTTACATATCTATTGTACATTCACATCAGTCCCCAACCCTCAAGGGGCGTACAATCTAAGGTCCCTAACTCACATTCATACATACACATACTAGGGACAATATAGATAGGAGCCAATTCACCTACCAGCATGTCTTTTAGAGTGTGGGAGGAAACCGGAGTACCTGGAGGAAACCACAAGGAGAACATGCAAACTCCAGGCAGGTGGTGCTGTGGTTGGGATTCAAACCAACGACCCTAGTACTGC